CACATGGAGTGTTATGTGGGTGCTGGGGCCACACACTAACTGGTGCAAGAAGCTGGGAGAAGATGGTCTGTCCCTCAGTCCAACTGCTACAAGCAGCAATGGCCTAACCTGTACTTAACATCATGTTAGTCGTCCACAGCCCTCTAACAGAAAGAACTAAGCCTCCTAATTAACAATACTGATTAATTTGATCATTAGCCTATTTCATATTAAAAGTGGAACACTGAATCAACCCCAGCTTTGGATTTATGTTACTTGCTTTGAAATTGTTTTATGGTCTTTGATTACATTTTTAAACCCTGTTTTTGTCTGTCTTGGAGGAAAAAAAAAAGCCAAAATTATTGTACTACATTAAGAGTAGAAACTAGTGTCTGTCCTTGCTCATATAGGTCTGTGGATAACTATTCCACAACTGACAGTAATGTGTCACCAGTGTTTGAGAAGGACTCCCTGTTGATTCCTGCATTTAATTAATTACTTTTATATGATAATTAAATCATTCCTGTTTACTTGCACTCTGTTTGCTTGCATCTGAGTACTTGCTGAAAACAGAAATTGTCTGAATTTATGACGCCTGTGGTTGCACTCTTCTTGCAGTGTTTGTGAGCTCTGCCATGCCTGAGCCACTGCTAGTTCCAGTTTCATGTGGTCTTGGGCAGTTTTGAGTAAGTGACCTGAGCTGCAGGCAGATGGTTTCCTTCCAGTCTTTCCACCACAGCCCTTGCCAGCACCTCCTTAGGCTGGGCAATGAAGCAGCACAGATGAGCACAGTTGTTCCCCCTCTGGGCAAAGCCTCTCTGATTAGCTCCCACTATGAATTTGGGCTGCTCACGCCTGACCTGGACTTGTCCCACCTTTCCCAGGGGGAAACCTGGAGGACAAGGGAGATGGTGGAGGTGCAGGGCTGCTCCGGCAGCTGGCGGGGGGCTGGCAGGGAGAGCAGTCCCCACTGCCACCTCCACCCGCGCACCTGTGGGTCAGTGAGAGCCCCGTGTGTACAAATGCTTGGCTTCCCAGGGCTCTGGCATAAGGTGCATGGGTAGTAAAGCTGATACACCCCCTTCCCCTCTGCTGCCCTGCCAGTTTAGGCTGTGCCGAGGACCTTGAGGCAGCCCTTGCCAAGGGTCCAACTGGTGGAGGACACCGTGGGTGTGCGGAACACCACCAGGATCCCGAGTACCTTTGGTTTGGCCTGGGGCAAGGGCAGGAGCGCTTGCATGAATCCTGCCTCTGCCTGAGCTGCGGCAGCGGGACCGCGTGGGCGACGTGGGGACTGCAACCTTCAAGGGATTGCAGAAGCAACCTGGCGAGGGCAGGCGATGGCAGCGCGGGCAGCAGCTGGTGCGCAGACCCAGCGGTGCCTCCCTCCGGCAACTGAGTCAGAACGCTTTGGTACCCGATAGGCAGGAAATAAGCCGTGACGGGAGACAAATGGAGGAGCTGGCTCACCCCTGCGAGCCGGGGGGACGGGGCCTGGCTGGCCTGGGGCAGCACATCCAGGCAGTAGGCCTCAGCCGCAGTTGCACAGAGGAGATATTAGAGAGAGATTGCCATTCAGTGACGACCTGGGACCCAAGAAGCACTGCGTGACTCCAAGCCTGCATGCATTTGCAGTGCAGCACCTCAGCTTTCCACGTGCTTGGGTAGCTCAGCTATCTCACACTCTTTATTTGCTAATCCAGGGTTTTGCAGGAAGAGGCCAACCTAGATACGTTTAAAATTTTGGGCTGGTTGGTGCAGAAGACAGGGGGAAGGTGCCTCCGGCAGGACCCATGGCTGCAACGTAGTGCTGCTGTAGGCTTTCCTCTACCACCCAGCCTGGTGCAGGGTAGTGCCTCAAGTCAAAGCAGAAGATGCTTGAGAGGTGTGTGTAACATATTAGAGTGTTTTGGGGTAATTATTTATCCCATAAAAACCAGGAATATTGTGTCTGCTGTGACGACAAAGCTCTAATGCCTACTGGCTCAACCTCAGGGATTTTCAAAGATGCCTCGAGAGAGAGCAGTGAGGCAGTGGAGGAACAAAGCGCAGCCTTGTTCAAGTGCAGCTCCGATGGCTTCATGGCATCTCATGTTGTAACCCACTGGTCCTGCATTTTATTCACAAAACAGAATTTAACTTGGGAAGGAAAGTGTGAGCAGGTTGCCATTCAAATGTTAATACATGGAGAACAAAAAGGAGTAAGGACAAGGTTAGAGTAACCATAACTGTTACTCCTTTCCAATGATTTTTTCTTGTCACCCCCCTGCCCGTCTCTTCAGTAAAGTTTTCCCCCTCCCTTTTTGCCAACAACCTAGCTACTTTTCCAACTACAACACTTTTAAACTTTTAAAGTGACTTTTATCTCACTTGCTTGTAATAAACCCAAAGTATATGTTATTGAGCTGTTCCTCATTTGGTGTTTGTTACACTTGAGTTAGAGGTGGCTGAAGCAAAGGCAAGTGGGTGTTGAACTGCCTCGCAGAGCAGAGGTGGTCTAAAGCCCTTGCCTTCTCCCTCGGTTCTTTCCTTCCCGGCTTTGCCCCATGCCACAACCAACCCTCGGCTTCCCCGGGTGTGGGGAGACTTTGCTGCCCCCAGGCAGGGGGCAGGGCTGAACCAGGGGAGGTGGTGTAGCAGGTACCACAGTGGTGGCTGCTGCTGCCACT